GACTCCGGCAGTCAAGAGAGTGAGCAAATTAAGGAAAGAAGAAGAATGAAAGAACCAAAGAAGTGTGTGTTTACAAGTGTGTGTGTGTGTGTGTGTGTGTGTGTCTCCACAGTGTGAATGTCAAGAGCATTGCTGCAGTGCCAAGGGCAGAGAGACATTGGAAATGTTCTCTCTCTCTCTTTCACACACACGCAGGTTTCACATGTCTGCTGACTGTCACCAACATGACTTAATTCAGTGTCTCACACACACACACACACACACACACACACACACAGACTGGAGTGTATTGTGAATGAAGTGCAGAGCGACATCATGTGTTCAGTTCAATGAGACAAAGAGAGAGAGAGAGAGAGAGAGAGAGAGAGAGCCAAGAAAGAAGAAGAACAGAGAGAAAAGAGGACCAGGACCAGGACCAGCTGCAACTCAGTCACAAAGTGTAAATGAAGTGATTCTGACAGAGAGACACAGGTGAAGAGAGAGAGGTGGAGGTGTTTACTACAACCTGTCAACAGGACGCCAGGTGAGGTGTTAGAGGTGGTGTTGTTTGTGTAACCGGATGTCTTTTACACCACACACTCCTACATGTGTGTGTGTGTGTGTGTGTGTGTGAGTGTGTGTGAGTTTGATAGAGTTTCTACTTTCTCTGTTTGGACCTCAGCATCAATTTAACCTCCTACTGCCTCTGGTGTGATACATACACACACACGCACACGCACACACACACGCACGCACGCACGCACGCACACTCACACGACACACACACACTGCAACACAACACACACACACAACACACACACGGTTGAGCACATTAGTGGGTGCAGCACGCATCCTCTTAATAGTGTAAAATGGACAAAGGTGCTTCCTTCTCTCTGTGTGAGTCCTGAAACAGTCTATTTCAGTCAAGGTGCGCTGCAGGAAATGGATTCAGACGCGCACATGAACACACACACACACACCTGCGGAGTCAGAGCTGCACACACATGAGAGAGAGAGAGTGGTTGGGCGGTCAGGTGCATCCAACTGCCCCACTGATCTGCAGCTCCCTCCTGTGGCAGGGCTGAGAACTACACCTGCAGGAGATGATGACATCATCATCTGCTGCTTCCTGAAGTCAAACCGAGATGGTTCAACAGCGACACAACCTGACAAACCAGCAGAGATCAGAGCTGCGTTCACAGTCCGCTGATGATTTCAGCCCTCGCCCTGAGCCGCTGACACCACGTCAGCTTCACCTAAAGTCCAGTCCCTCCAGCGACAGAGCGTGACACAGCCTCAGAGAACAAACACACGGTTTCCTCTCTGACGGGGGACAGTGGAGATTCAGACTGTGAATCTGCGTGTGAACTCTGACCACCCCCGAAATCAGAACAAGCCTTCGTCCTTTAAAGTTAACGTCAGCGAGCCGGTTTAATCATGAACATCTCTGCATGTAGTTTCACCTAGTCTCCTCCTCTTTTTATTCCTCACAGTTTCCCTTTAGATGCTTCAGCAAAACTAAAACATTTACAGCAGGAAACTAGAGTCTCCTCCTCGTGGTCGTATCCCTCCGCCACTCAGACTAGTTCCAGGTCACTTCCTGTTGATCCAGAGTCAGAGAGAATATTCACATATGTGTCAAGTTTTGTCATAGTTGTTGTGAAGTCTTGTGTAATGGTGAAAAAGTGTTTTGTGAGGTCACCGTGACCTTGACCTTTGACCTTTGACCCCCAAAGTCTAATCAGTTCATCCTTGAGTCCAGGTGAATGTTTTTATCAAAGTTAAAGAAAATCCATCAAGGTGTTACTGAGATATCGGACAACCTGAAAACAAAATGGCTGCCGCTCTGACTGTCGGCGGCGCGGAGGAAGAAACAGGAAGTGAAGATCCAGACGATCTGCATAAAACAACACTTCCTGTCATTTGGGTGAACTCACCCTTTAATACAGATGCTGCAGCTACAACCATCAGCAACAAGCTGCTTCTTATCGGTGTGTGTGTGTGTGTGTGTGTGTGTTAAAGTACAACACATCAAGAAAACAAACACACTCAGGTTAATCACATATTAATGTGTAGAAGTACACAGACACACACACACACAAAACTCCTCATTACACATCCATCTGAAGTGTGTCAACACAAGCACACTTTTTTTTCATAACTAGTTCTTACACACGCACACACACACACACACACACACACACACACACACACACACACACGTCTTAAACATGTATTATTGATTGGAACAAGCGGCGGTGAAGTGGAGCGCGGCGCTACAGCTTTGTTCAAGGGCACGGCAGCGAGTTAGCCACTTAGACTGACAGGAGAGTGAGAGAGAGAGAGGGGCGAGAGACACTGACAGAGAGAGAGGGACGAGAGAGGCGACAAATATTTAAAATGTTTGTACATGTGTGTTTGTGGAAGTGGGTTGATCTTTGTGTTGATACTGTGTGTGTGTGTGTGTGTGTGTGTGTGTGTGTGTGTGTGTGTGTGTGTGTGTGTGTGTGTGTGTTCTGACCGGAGTTCAGCAGCTCCTGCTCCATCACTCCGCAGCCCAGCACCTCCATCCAGTCGCCCTGGAAACGCACCTCCATCTCAAAGGAGGGATGAGTGAAGGGGAAGTAACAGTCGACCCACCTGATCTCCACATCTGAGAGAGGGGGAGGGGTAAAGTTGAGTAAAGTGAACACCTGTCGTGTGTTGTCCCACCTTCCCCTCCTCGGGTGGGCGTGTCTCACCTTCTCCAAACAGGTGAGTGACGAGTCGAGTCAGAGTGAGTTTCAGGTCGAACTCCAGCAGCTTCACGGCCTCCAGAGAGTGAGTCTCCTGTTTCTGAGGCGTCCTCCTCCCCCCGCCCTCGAACAGGGACAGCTCCTCTCCATTCTGCACCTTGGAGAACAGCTGGGAGACGCACCACACATCTGTAACACATCTGACCCGCTAAAACCTCACATCTCCACACTGTCATATTTCATGTTCCAGTTTAAACCTGATCCGAGCTCGGCTTCACTATGACTTGTAGATGGAGACACACTTGGCCCAGTATACGCCCGGTTCCACGGCCCGAGTCTGGCCCACATACATGACTGTCAGATGCTACTTTCCACATCTGGATCCATTCAGACAAAATCTTCCAGCTACCAATCAATAACAGCCGGTCTCAGCCCAGATGTGGACATATATGGACCAGACCCAGGCCGAGGACTCCACTCACACACACACACACACACACACACACTCACACTCACACTCACACTCACACACACACACACACACACACACACTCACACTCACACTCACACTCACACACACACACACACACACACACACTCACACTCACACTCACACTCACACACACACACACACACACACACACACACTGCCGTACCTCGTGGTTGGAGAAGAGCCGCACGCCCTCGATCTGGTGGAACACTGGGTAATGACTGGAGTCGATCTCGTCTCGCCTGTACACGTCTCCGGCCAATAAGAACGCATCCAGACCCGACCTCACCAGCTCCCTCTGGTGGGCGGAGGTGTGAGCGCGGAGCATCGTGTTTCTACTCAGCACACACACAGACAACACATCTGTCACAAGATTCTGGATTCCTCTGACTGGGAGGTAAAGTGTGTTTGGTGGGCGGCGTCACTCACCTGTTCAGGTAGTAGTTGTCACCTCGTTTCCTGCTGGGGTGATCGGGCGGGATCAGCAAGCTGTCAATCAAACCACACAAACCAATCAGCTTCACGTCAGCATGAGATTAAACAACAGAACATCAGGAAGAATGAAACCCTCCAATCAATCAATCAATCAATCAATCGATCAATCATCACAGCTGCCCACCTGTCAAAGTTCTGCTCCGTGGTAACCACAGGGCTCAGGTTGTCATGGACAGAGAAGAGCGGGTTGCCCCAGCGACCGATGTAGGAGCTGAGGAGGATGGAGGAGAGACGTTAGTGTTAATGAACGATATGTTACACAGCCGCTGCGAGCACACCGTTACCCAGAATGCCACAGTGAGACCACTGTGCTGACCAGAAGCTCATGTCTCTCCGCCGGTCAGCAAGCGTTGGCGCTCCTCTGCTCCGTCTTAATGACAGGTAGAGCTGATCTTTATAATCACCTCGCAGCTACCGCCATCTTTTAAGGTGGAACGTTTTCTCATCGTGTTGTTTGACGTCAGGAAATCAATCAATACATTTCATTTCAGGTGTTTTTATCAGCTCTCTTCACGACAGACTCTGTCATGAGGATCGGATCGTCAACAGCTTCAACTGTCGATAAAATCATGTGACTACAATTATTTTTATTTCGTCACTTGGAGAAAAAAAGTAGTGGAGCGTCGTTTCCGGTGGCAGCTCTACACCAGTGGGGGAGGGGCACGTTGCGTTACGAGCGAGAGAGAAAGAGGAGTGACCCGGTGTGAATCATCGTCCGTCGGCACGACCCTCCTTCAAACAAATACCAACAGCTCACACTTCACACAGTCCGGATCCAGACTGAGACTCAGCAGAAGACGGCGAGCGAGGAGTCAGAGGAGACGCTCCGCTCTTGTTGTGAGCGTGCTCCAGAGGTCGGACACTAATCCTCCGACAGATCCAGCTGATTATATTCTGTAGTTTAAACTTCACAGACGGGCCTGTGCTGCTCTGACAGGACGACACTCTCAACAACTGCTGTAAAGAGCAGAGGAGGATCTGACAGAGAGACAGAGAGAGAGAGAGGGAGAGAGAGAGAGAGAGAGAGAGAGAGAGAGAGAGAGAGAGAGAGAGAGAGAGAGAGAGAGAGGGAGAGAGAGAGGGGCAGATGGAGGAAAGGCCAGACTAATGTGCAAAATGGAGGATGTGTGATTGGACCGAGAACAAGACGTCTGCTGAGCAAATAAATATAAAAGAATAATCACCATCCGGGAAAAAAAAA